TATATATATATATAGGCATTCGTGACAGTTAATCGGTTGGAGTTTGCAAGTAGCTTGATCTTCCAGGCTGGGTTCCAAAGGATGAGGGTTATCGTTGGCTTGAATCATTGAGAAATATGGCTTAGAAAAGAAGTCAATGGCGTGAATGTTGTACAGCCTGTTGGGTCTGTTTCTCGAAACCTCACATCTCATAGATAAACGAAAAACGAAAAATGTAAATGATGAGAATGAAAATTGTTCTTTAGAATTCACACGATATAGCACAATCCATCTATGTGAGACTGTTACGAGTATCGTTCCTCGCCCATCTCAGCACTAACCTCCTGGGATAAGATTTGGTTGGAAACTTTCACAATCTGATTATTTGTTTCATGAAGGAAATGGAGGATTTGATTTGCTTTTGATGATGAATTCGGTGTATTAATGAGTTGTGACCTGAAAAGCTGGGAAGCATTGGACAGCTGTTGCGACCTGTCTGGGTGTCATCAGCAGTGCGAATCCATCGACCCAGCTTGTGATCGAACCCGGGACCTCACAGATAGAACGCAAGCACACTACCCACTCAGCCACCGGGTAGCTGATCAGACCGTTTCTCACTTTGAATTTACATGATATAGCACAACCCGTCTGAGATGAGCGAGGACTGATACTAGCAAAAATCTCGCATAGACGGGTTGTGCTACACGAATTGGCACAGACCCTAGCGGTGTTTTCTCGGGTCTTCAGTGATGACGCCACCATAATTCCCAGGTCTCTTTCACACGATGTTCTGCACAATGTGATTCCCTGGAAGTTGTAGACCACCCCTGAATCAACACACTCCAGGTGTAGGTCATCATCATCATTGCACAGAGAAATACAGTACAGCGAACTTCAATGATTGCTGCCAAACTCGCAATGCATACAAGATTAGTGGTAATATTTAAGATGTACAAGGACTGGACCTATTTTGAGGGAGGCTAAAGGTGGACCTCTATGGTTAACACACAACGTACACATTCGAACTCTGCATACATACCGTTTCAAGCACTCTGGATTGACGAGAAATGACACCAAGAAAGCCCCTGCTATCGGTTCACTGCCATATCCTTCAATGCCTCCAACCAACCGGTTGCAGTCTTTCGGACCCCAACCTAGAAGGCGAGAGACACCTACTTTATCTAATGGCTCTGTGCATTTCCTTATACCTCGTCTCCACGTCATCTATTGACCTCCCAGTGGTTTAATCCAGCCCGAAACGCCTACAGCCACAGGTGCAGGTAAGCACACTTAGCAGGGATGACTGGAAGAGCCCAGGAATCTGGGATTACATTATTTACACAGTGCATTGAACGAAAAAACGCAGTTTCTAACAAAACCAACATGTGTTTCCGTTTTCTTGCATTTAATCATTGGTACCACTCATATTTCACACAACACTGGCAAGTACAAATCTAAGTTTAACTACGGGATGTTACAACTTGGGAAACGTTCCCGCGACAAAGAACCAAAAGTGGGCAAAAGTGATGAGATAGCTCAAAACGCTATGATGAAAAAGGTACACCGATATTGAAATAAGTGTGTAGAGGTTCAGAAAGAAAGGTGAATGACAGAAACCTTTGATAATTACAATTTCGAAAACCCTTTGAAGATGAGGAAGTGGACCTCATCGTGTCAGCTGTCAGTTGCTTGGGCCATTCTGAGCGGATAACAACCTTTAAACTGAAATGATCAACCGACCAGGTGAGCTAAGCCAATTTAATGCAGAAAGACGCAAATGAACATTTAAATGTGTATGGAGTGAAAAGATCAAAACAGTTTTCCGATGAAAACTTACTTTAGCCATGCCAACAGAACTTGTGTTAAGTTCAGGTAGACCGTGATTCGTCTTGTCACCCCGTTCCCAAATTCCGTAGTCCTAGATGGTGACAGACACTTTAATTGATACTTACCGGAATACGGTAGGCATACTCGATATAGAACACAAGATTCTGAATGAATGCCACCTCCTCTCTAGTCCATATGATACGTAGGCCTGAAGATGAACAAGGACAACAAGGGACTAACCTGATGCAGTCATTTGTGCTAAAGTTAAAAGATATACAGATACCGCATCAATCTGCAGGTGGCCCCATTGATCGTCTCCAACTACGGGTTTGCATGTGTTTGCATCAAACTTAGCANNNNGATTATATCTGCTTACTTTTTCTAACTCGTAGCCCCTAGAACGATCTTCATCTACGTCTGGTAACTTGCGATAGGATAGGGACAATCCCCATATAGAAAGTGAAGCGTAAACGTTATCTCTGACCCAAGCATGAGAGCTAGTGACAGAGGAAGGAATAAGACCTGTCAAAGTGTTCTGGAAAGGCAAATGCATGAGAGAATTCTATACAAACTTGATAACAAAGAATGGTGGAGTTCAGAAGATCGTAATAGTAATCTAGTTTTTTCTTATCCATTGCACAAGATGTGCATAAACGTCGAAATAAGTTTCAAACCCAAATCATTTAGAATTCCAAGCCCAGCGCGGTCGGATGCGACTCGAATAAAAGGATCACGAACGCATATATTGATGGTCGACTAATCCTACGTAAACGCACAATGGTTCGGTCCAGTTCAAATTTCAAATTTCAGGACATGTGGGGGCCTTCGCCTGTGACGTGTCTTGAAGTCTTGAAGTCTTGAAGTGATTCACGGGTTCGAGGCTGTTGACCAAATGTCCCGGGTCCTTGAAAGGTATCTGTGTTTTGTTTTGGTTTGAATTACCGCTAGAACAGAGAGTACTGAAAAGGGATTAGTAGGGTTCCCCG